AGGTGGTGGTGAAGGAGCTGCGGGCGGGGGCCGGGACCCCCGAGAGGAGGCGGTTCCTGGCTGAGGCTGAGCCCTACAGGTACCCAAAAACACCCCAAAAACACCCAAAATATACCAAAAACACCCCAAAACCACCTCAAAATAACCCAAGAACACAAAAAAACCCCCAAAAATACCCCATAAACAGACAAAAACACCCCAAAAACACCTCAAAAGCACCTCAAAAACATACAAAAACACACAAAAACACCCCAAAATTACCCAAAACCGCCCCAAAACACCCCAAAACCACCCAAAATTACCCAAAAACACCCCAAGAACACCCCAAAACACCCCAAAAACACCCAAAACACCTCAAAACACCCCAAAACACCCCAAAAACACCTCAAAAACATACAAAAACACCCCAAAAACACCCAAAACACACCAAAACTACCCAAAAACAGCCCAAAACCACCCAAAATATACCAGAAACAACCCAAAACCACCTCAAAATAACCCAAAACACAAAAAAACCCCAAAAATACCCCATAAACACCCAAAAACACCCCAAAACCAGCTCAAAACCACCCAAAATTACCCAAAAACACACCAAGAACACCCCAAAAACACCCAAAACCACCCCAAAACACCACAAAAACACCTCAAAAACACCCAAAACAACCAAAAACACCTCAAAACCACCCAAAATTACCCCAAAACACACCAAGAACACCCCAAAACACCCAAAACCACCCCAGAAACACCTCAAAATACCCCAAAAACACCCAAAATATACCAAAAACAACCCAAGACCACCTCAAAATGACCCAAAACCACAAAAAAAACCCCAATATACCCCATAAACACCCCAAAACACCTCAAAAAATACAAAAACGCCCCAAAATAACCCAAAATAACCCAAAAACACCTGAAAAACACCCCAAAACACCCCAAAAACACCCCAAAAACACCCCAAAAACACCCAAAATACACCAAAAACACCCCAAAAACACCAAAAAAAACCCACCTGGAATGTCCCAAAATATCCCAAAACCACCCCAAAAATGGAATTTGGGTGGAATTTTGGGAGAATTTGGGGAGAATTTGGGGTGTTTTGGGTGGAATTTCACCCGGAATTCCCAGATTTGGGGCTCCCCAGGGCCGGGACCCCTCGGAAATTCGGGAATTTTGGGGAAATTTTGGGAATTTTGGGGAATTTTGGGTGGAATTTGAGGATTTTGGGGTCCCTGGCTGGAATTTTGGGTGGAATTTTGGGAGAATTTGGGGAGAATTTGGGGTGTTTTGGGTGAAATTTCACCCGGAA